TATATTTTTGGTGGATTCATCAATGAAAGTGACATAATAGCATAAGCCTTCAAGAGAAGTCATAAAAGATGGTCCCCATACATTTGTAAGCATTAATTCTAGCTTATCTTCCTTTAAGGATCTATCGAACTTTAGGAAACAAATGCTTGTTTGCTTTCCATTTATAGGCCTCATATAAACCAATGTCAATATATTTCAATTCTAATCATTTTTCGTTCATGCTAATTGCTTCAAACCCTTTTCACTTATATGCCCAAGCCTTTGGTGTCATCATATAAAATCACTATCATCATTGAAATTAGCCACTACTTGTTTTATCCCTTGTTATAGCAATCATATACAAAGTCCCAACCTTACTCGTCATATGATTCATCCATATTCCCCTTCATTATTTTCCATGATCCACTCCTAAATATTATTTTGAAGCTAACATCATTGAGTTTACTCATAGAAATTAGATTCTTCTTGAAACTCGGCCATTTAGTATTTTCCATCGCATTCCATTGGCAATTCGATACCAACCTCACATTTATCCACAATGTCTAAAGGTTAATCATTTGCAAGATAAACCTTCTAAAAATTTCATGCAACATATTTCTATAGGAAACCTTTACATGGAGTAGAATGAAATGACGTACCTAAGTTTAGAATCCAAGACTCAATAGGACTATCCACACTCGTAAATTAATGCATCTATAATTTCATCAATCATTAAATATGCAGAGTCATTATCTTGATTCTTCTTCTTCTTGAGATCCTTAAACTAATTTTTAAAGTGTCCCTTATTGTCTCAATTCCGGTAAATGATCTCTTTGTATTTTTTAGATTTCCCTCTCGCATTTTGATTTTGACTCGTCATGACCATGATTCGACCTCGTTGAAAGTCCCTTCCTCTCGCTATTAGTACTTAGAGCAAACCTTGAAGGTTCTGCTAACTCACTCGCAAAGATCTTCACCGACCATTAAATCTTGGACATCATCCAATTTTAGTTTCTCGTTCTTTGATGAACTACTTATTGTTGTTACCGTTCCAAACCAACTCTCAATTGGAGAATATAACAAAATCAATGTCTTAGCTTCATCATCAAACACAATTATCGACTTCAATTGGGTAATCAATACATTAAATTTATTAATATGATTAGTTATAGATGCACCTTCTATCATTTTCAAATTGAACAATTGATGCATCAAAAATTCCTTATTTGAGATAGATGGCTTCTCATACATATTTGGTAGCATCATCATCGGATTTGCTATGATCTTTTCTTTCATGTTATTGAAAGAAACATTTTACATTAATGTCAGTTGAATAACACTCAAAGCTTGGCAATCCAACGAACCCAATTAGCATCTTTCATCTTCTCTCGGCTTCTTCCTTGATAGGGGTTCGTGTAGCTTCTTCCGGTATAGATAATCTTTAATCTACATCTTCCGGAACCCAAAGTCTTTGCCATCAAACTTATCAATCCTAACTTTTCCTTTTTCTACCATCGGTTCTCCTTGCCCCTCTAACCTATGGCTTTGATACCAGTTGTTAGGAAATGAATCAAGTAAAAAAATAAAATAGAAAGACAAAAACAATCACACAACACAAGTATTTTATGTGGTTCGATGATCGGTGCCTACTCCACTGGCTATACTAAGATTTTTTTTATTAGGTTTTATCAAGTGGTGCTACAAATATAAGTGATATTATCTCTATTTATAATGTGAACAACTAAGATTATTAGAAAAAAAGGCTTAACGAACATATACATCCGGTCTAATATTCCGTTGACCTTATATTGCGAGACTCGTTGTGTTGGATCCGTATAGTGCTTTATACCGTGAGTCCTTATCCACATTAGTCTTTACAACTTAACACCAAATCCGTTAATCTATTTATTAAATTCATCAAATATGGATCTATCTTAATCTAATATGATAATAATCGACTCGAAATTAAAAATAATAATTTTTATAATAAATATAATATTTTTAAAAATAGTAAAATTTAAATATGAAATAAATAAATAAATATCAAACTATGTTGAAATTTAAAATTTATTTATTATAGAGTTCAAATAACGTATATCTTTCAATAATTTTGATTGTATTTTTTAAAAAACATTACATACATATTTTTAAGACTCGATACTATTATATTTGTCGTCACTCTATTTGTACTAACTCTATTTGTACTAGCACATGATATAATAACGAAAAGATATGACCATTAAATTCCTTGGGCTTATCAAAGATTTAATTTCAGTGATGCAGATGCGTACATATGTGAAAGTGGGGGAGGAAATTTATTTCTAATTTGATGAATTCTTGCTCAAATCCGACAGGTTAAATGTCTTCAGACCTTGGTTGGTGAAGTCATTTGTTGACAAAACTTAAGTGCATGAGATTGGATAGCCTTAACCAAGTACTGCATCCAGTTTCTTGTTGGATGATTAATGAACTATTAAAAGTTGGGAATTAATCATGCATAGCTAGACAAGCAATGTTCATAAATATTGTGCTTCCAAGAGTAAATGTAGGATATGCCCTGACTCTCTGTCTGCAGTATACAGGAACTGGACCCCTTTTTCAATTTTATTTCCTTAAATATGAAACTATTTAAATCAATGTCGTATCGAAATTATGGATTTGGCTGTGCATCATGTACTGATCCACTTTATTCTAACCAAATTACTATGTTTTATTGAGAATTATGCATTTTGGCTATACATTATGCACCTCATACATCTTTGAATAAACATCAAATATACCACCGAATTATTAGATATTTTATCATTTTGCATCCAAATTATTTTTTTATCAATTTTATCGCTAAATTGTTTTAATTTCTCAATTAAAGATTTTTTTTTTTTTTTTGGGGTTAAAATCACTTAAGTTTTTATAAAATAACCTCGTTTTTTACTGAAAAAAATATATTTAAAATGGACGAAAGTTTTTATTAATTTTTTTTTTAAAGTTTGATGGTAAGGATGAAACTATTTTATTTATACAGGTGGATGGTATTTTTGAGGTTTGTACTGCGTCTTTTAATCGTAATAAGATGTTTTGTCTATTTCTTGCTAGGATATTGGTTGGCACATCATAGCAAACTCTCCTGAGGTCTGCTCATGTGAATTTTCCTTCTAGCAAGTGCTGGTGAGACATTGAATCCCGTGGGGTCCTACCTGAGATGCCCAATTTCTACCTCCTGATTGGACGTCTCACGATTTCAAGTACTCGAAACGTTAGGCATGGAGCTATCAAGAGAGGATAAATGTGATTCTTGTAACCAACACCACCTTCAGACGGGCGACTTGCTCGTATAATCTCTTGTTGACTTAGCTATTTTCTCTTGGACTAGCGTAATATATACTGAGAGGACCAGAGAATATTTATTTTGCCGTTTTGCACGTAACTCCTCGACATGAGCAATAGGCACGGACTCGTCGTATGGTTGAACTTTCGCCCACTGGTTCTACAATCTGCACCATCCAATTTATATTCAGAATAGAAGAAGAAGACAAGGGTGTACTAATTTCTCCCCCATAAATGTGTTTTTCTTGTATTATTATCATCAAAGTAAAGTATCATCCATCAGGTTTTAAATCTCGTTTATACATCCACATCGATGAGAATTTCTTTTCCACAGCTTGTATTTGAATTCGACCTAAATGAAAATATCAAAATAATTAAGATAAAACATACCCAATTACCACCCTTAAAGCTCCCTGTAAGGTTTTGAAAACGATTTCAAAGTGTTTTTGATAACTTTAATATTCCTACACTGTCAAGACTCTTGTCTCCTTACGTATTACTACATCAATATTCATCCTTGAACCTGCTGTGCTTATTTCTTTCCTCTTTCTAGGACTTCTCTTTTTGAAAGTTTGGCGTACCAAGATGAAGCAAGTGAAGACGAAGAAGTTTTGTAGGAAAGCCCAACATATTTCCTCATCTATCATATTTTGGCTCTTTGCCCGTGCATTGTTAAAAAGATGTCTTGCCTCAGTTCATGCTAAAGTGTTGCTCTAGCTTATTCTCCTTGAGAAACAACACATAATCATCAATGACCATTGGGTTGTCAGTTGTCACCATCATTGTATAGGTTCACTCAATAGTTGCAACTTTTGCTTTAAAAAATTATCACTTGGTAGTTCTCAAAACTCAAAAGGGCAAACTCCTCGGAACTGTTTCTTATACAATAGACGAGTCATTTCTTCTTGAGCTTTAAAGCAGTAATGTGCTCGAGTAGATTTTACAGAAAACATTAGTTCTAACTTCTGAAACCAAAACTGTACATGCCTATGTGTAGAATTGGGATTTGGTTGTGGCCTGAGGGATTTGATGTTCAATTTAATAATTTGAAGCTCATGTTGGTAATGCATTTGGTCAGGACAAGCTGGCATTAAATTGTAGGTTAAAGCCAAGTCAATTTCAATAAGTTTCCAAAATTATACATGCCCTGTGTTCTGATTCGTTTTTTGTTGCCACGACCACTGACGCTGCCACCTATTATTACACCACTGCCACACCGTTACACTAACATAAGAAGACACCCTCAGCATTAAATAATCATAGACCTAATATTTAACAGCATGATTATTATTATTATTCAACATTTCATTCTCCTTTCTCATCCCATACCAACCTGTGCCAAAACTGTCAATCTTTAACATTTGAATTTGATTTAGATACTGCTGAAATCCAAATGATTCAGAAAATTGAGAAACTTCAACCACTTAAAACTAGGTTTTAACTGTTACAAAGATTCCAGAATCATTATTGAATGGGGCCTGGTGCCTTAGCTGTCGCATTGCAAATTCTCCCCCTTTTTTCTCTCTGGACGCAATTATAACCATTAATGACCAAACTATACCATAGTTAAAGCCGGGGGAGAGAGAAGGACAAAGGGCAGCAACACAGGAACAAAGACATCCCTCAGAAACCCAAAGGGTCACACTATAGTCTATTCACTTTCATAATCTAATCAAACAACTCTCCAGTGTGCTCCATCAAATTATCTTTTCAACTCTAAAGTACCCAAAAGCACCTGAAACCTTAGTTTCAACATCTTGTTTCTCAAACTCCATTCGCATTACCTGTTTCCCTAAGCCACTTCCTGATGCCAGATTCCTCAAAATGCAAAGCTAGAGTCATTCAGTTATGCATACTCTATGACCCCCTCTCTTCTTCGCTGGATTGTGAGAGGAATGAAAATTTAACATAAATAAACTCCCTCCATTTTTACCATGAAATACAGGTTTTCCTGAAAGTTTCCACTATCAAGATACAATAACCTTGTTACAGTGAAACAACTAGTGTAGTAATTCACACATTTACTTCTTCTCCTGAGCTGCCTAAACTAATGTCCGACTGCCAATCACAATCTTAGATTCCGATAACCCTCTCTTGAGTTGGATATGTGAATCCATGAGACCGCTGTTCTGCATATAGTTTTAAACTAATAAACTGAGAAATACTATACAGGGCACTCCTAAATCAACTAGAACTCAGCTGATGACCAAAGCTAGATGGGAAGCCAGATGATTAGCATTGCCCAACAAAATAGAAGAACAACTTAGGTTAAATCATTAAAACATCCATCCAGAAGTTTTTGGTTGAACACATTAAATATTTCACACACCATAACATACCAAGATGTCAATACGTAAGAACTGAGTTTTGGTCCTACTGTTCCCACAGACAGGAGTCCTTCTCATAGATCTTGGAGCACCATAGACAAACAAAACACCAGAAGCACAGTTGTAAAGGTCATGTACTATTATATCACCTAAACAATTATACTCAGAGAGAATAGTGTTGTTTTATGAACAACCTAGCAAGAACTGTCCTTCACTGAAAATCTCAAGCCATAAATCTATTATTCTAGAAAAAGAAACAAGGACTTGAGTAGCCCAACTCTATCCATGGTTGGACTTCTACCAAAACTGAAGCTATTGAGATGAATGAAAACAGGATAATATTGGGTTTATTCTAATGAACCATGTAAAATTGAATGGAGGAATGATTCAAATACAGATATCATGTTCGTACCTATAGGAAAATCACCACCATCTCTTCATTCCTTCCTCAAACAAAGAGATAGCAGAGCAGATATCTCATTTCTCATCAAGAATGAGCAATTTCAAAGATATGGCCGGAAATGTATTTTTGCTAATTCATGCAGCATAAACGTCTGCACCTCTTACACATACAACAATTAATACACAAAAGAGAAAAATTATGATAGCTCTAGACATTAAGACAAGGAAAGATTAACGGGGACTGCTAAGCACATCCACGCACATACGATTTAGTGAAGGCAACCGCATCTGCTGAACCTGGGCTCTGCTTCTTTTGAATTGAGGCACTGATGATGATGGGACAGATGATGCCACAGCCCACGAATCATTTGAGCTATCAGAGCTGAAAGATGCATCCATGACACCATTTGGGCTGCTGGGTGTGGACAGATTCTTGCGCTTGTGGCATTGATTTTGGCTGCCCAACAGCTCTAAAATGAGCTTGTAACACTCATTCACCTCATCCTGTTAAAATGTAGCAACAAGAATTTAACCAACAGACCACCAAGTCCAAAACTTCTTCACACAAGGCAGTAGATTTAGTATCACAATGAAACAGAGGAACCAAGTCAATAGAGACAGACCTCATTGATTTTGAGCACAGCCATAAGCTGCTTTTGGTAATCCTGTTGATTATGTGGATCAACCTCCTTAATAACATGCAGCATTGTCGCCGTAGCTAATATAGAAGGAAGATAACTCATGAACCTTGAATCTGAAATCAAAATCCAATGTTGGAAATCATGAGTTTGAAAGAAACTGCAATATTAGTTAAAATTCATGTCCGATGCATTAAATGTTTGATACAAGAGAATCCATTAATTAGCAATCAAACAATAGACTTTTCAATTGCTTACCAGAAATGACAGAGAGAAGCAAACGCTCACACCTCCATAAAAATTCCCAATGCAAGTGGGTCTTTAATCCAAGTCTCCTTATAATGTGATCAAAAAAAGAAATTGAGGTTACAGGATTCATCCTCCATTGAAGAGTTGACAGCACCAGTAGCTCCATTCTCTTTATAGTCTTGGCTTCAAAAACGTATTTTGCATCCTCCACCTGAAAAAAAACAAAGAGAAACAGAAAGCCCCATCATTAATAACTCAAGAAAACACAAAATCAAACATTGATAATTGTTTCAATAAACACAAAATGAGAACATTCTAACAAACACCCAGATTGCAAATTTTGCACATACTTGAAAGTCTAAAAGAAGTGGCACATGGGTTTCCTCCACTTTAGCAGCTAGAGACAAACAAGCCACAGCAGCAAGTTGACCCATCCATGGCTTATCTCTCTGAAACCTTGAACTTGAAATGAACCTATCCAAGTAGCTGACAGCAAGAACAACAGTCAAAGCATAGAACCCATAATGTGCCTTTACCCTCAGAAACCACCCAACAGCCTCTCTACGAGCCACCATTAAAGATCCATCGTTATAGCCTACACTATCAAAACCAACATGGGTCTCTTTTTCTTTGGAGATTAAAGAAAGTAAATCATTATCTTCCCAAAACAAGTCTTGCTCAAGCAAAACAGAAGATAAAGTTTGCTCTTTATTCACATTTTGATCACAAATTTCACTATTTTCATCATCAAAACCACAAGAATAACCCTCTCCAAATCCTTCCTCTTCGCAATAAAGCCCATCAAAAACCAATGCTGAGCTTTGTTCATGAGTCTCTTGTTCTTGTAAGAAAGACATCTTCTTCAGAGAAGAAGAGATTCAATCCTCTTCTCATTATAGAAAAACATCAAAATGAAAAGGCAGATAAAATCTCTCAAGCTTCTCGCTGAATATATTGCATATCTTTCTCTCTGTATGAGGCCCTACGCTGCTGAGACTGAGATGGAGAGAAAGAGCGAGAGACAAATAGAGTAAGCAAGTGAAGGGTTTTATCTGAGAACCCTTTCACGCCTGTCCTTTTCCCTTTTTCTTTTCTTTTTTTACTCGCTACTCTTTATTTTATTTATTTATTTTTATCATCTACTCTTTCCTTTATTACTTTTGCTGCTAATTTTCGTATTTCCGTTGTTTTGTGACTACATCTAAGTTACTGATTGGTGTTATTGTATGTTTTTTTTTTTTTTTTTTTTTTTTTTAAGAAAATGTATTTAGTTGAGCTGTTGTATTTATTTTTTAAAAAAGTAGTTTTTTTTTTGTTTTCAGTTTTAGTTTTATAATAAAAAAAATAGAAAATGCGTTTGGTTGCATTGTTGGGTTTATTTTTTCTTTGAACAATTTAAAAAATTAAAATAGATTTTTGAAAACAACAAAAATTGATTTTTTTTTTAATTCTACGCTAAAAATTATTTTTTTTCTTTTTAATTCTAAGTTATTGGTTTTTCATTTGAAGACATCATGTTACCAATGATACTACCACTTCCTTACCGCAACTATCATCGTACCATCAATAACACACTTCTCATATAATGTTTTTAACTTTCAAAAAATTATTCAAAAATTCAAAATAGAAAGTGCTTGTTACATGTTTTTATGATTTTTCATATATTTTAGTATTTTATGAACTTTTGTGGTTTTAAACATATTGGGATTTTTTAAAAAAAAATTTGTGAGCTCGAAAAAAAACAGAAAAAAAAGAAAAATAGAAAGAAAACAACAAAAAGAGGCTTGAAAGGAAAATTGTTAATTGGGGCACAATCAAGTGAAATTGATGAGAACGTGCATCGAAAAAGGAAAAAAAAAGAAAAAAAAAGAAAAGAAAATGCTAATTGGGGGTAATACCGAGAGAAGTTGGCAAAAAATGGGATTGAAATAAACCAAAAAAAAAAAAAAAGACCAAGGGCCGAACTACAAAAGGTTAAAGAATTTAAGGACAAAAAAAAAAAAACACTCATAAAAAATATGATGTCGTTTTGAAGAGTTAGAATACAAAAATAAAAGACCAAGGGTGAAACAATACCGTTTCATCCTTGCATATCACGATTCATCTTCATTCTTCTCCAACTTTCATTCCGCCTTTGTCTACTTTTATATGTTTTTTTATTGAAAAAAAAAAGACAAAACACAACTCAACCATCCTTCCATTCACTTTCTTTTTTCACCAAGCCATGTAAAATACATGACCCATGCATTCTTGTTTGACAACAAAACAATGGCTCAAAAAATGCTTCACAACAGATCCACAAACACTCTCTTAAAAATAAAAAATAAATAAAAAACAAACTCTTGAAACAACAACTACAAATAGACATTTTTTAACCCTTTTTTCTTGTTGCAACAAGAGGACCAAAACAGACTTGTAAGTAATGTTGTACGATCTAGATTAACTCTTCAAAATCAAGGGTCAAAATTTAGCTAGAGATATAGAATTTGAGATCTTTCTTTAAGAGACTATAAAAGTGTCTAAATTCTAAGTTTGTGAGTGGAAGAGGACACTAAAGCTTTGCTAATTTTTGCGATTATAAAGACAAAGGCGAGAATAAAAGAATAAGAAAAAAGATCAACAAGATAGTGAAAACAAGAATTGTAGCCCTCTCTTGTTGTTGTTGTTGTTGTTGTTGTTTTTTTAACTCCTAAACCCCCACACCTCCACATAATTTTGATGAAGAAAACAACGACCTTGAATCTCCTCAAGTCAACTATCAAAACAACAATAATTCTTATATCTTGTCACAAATTCTTTTGTTTTTCTTAACATATATAATATCTTTCTCTTTTTCCCATCATATTTTTTTCACTTTTCGGACTCGAGGATGTTAAAGATTTTGTTGTCATGATCTCTCGCTAAGTTAGAGACTTTAGTTTAAATAGGGGTTTATGTCAACTACTTTATATTTTGGGAAAGGAATTTCTATCAACTCTAGTTTAGTTGCTATTAATTCTAAGCTTTGTGTGCCCGTAAAAGACATTAGGGACTTTAGTTTTTTATGATGGCAATGCTCGATCATGACTCGGTTTATTATTCTCCTAGTAGTCTTGATCATAATTCGATAAGTATTTGCTCTTTCTCTTCATTCGGTTGATTTGGTGAGGTCTGTTGTTGTTGTTTTCAACATTAATAAATTTGCAGCAACAATGATGGAAGGATAGAAGAAATAGAATTAGGGCAAGATGTGCTTTAAGTAGAATATTGTTTTCAAAATTTGTCTCATTCTATTGCAATTTGTTTCTTAGTTTGTTGGTTTGGTTAGTGGCTTCACTTTTTATTTTTCCTAATTATATGTCCACCTCACCTTTATATAATAGAGATTAATTTTTGTAATAATTAATTTTTATATTTTAATTTATGAGATTTGCAAGATAAAAATTTTTAATTAGGCGAGATGACGTTAAACTTTCAAAAGACCTAATTTTTAGACTTTATTCATAAAATAACAAAAGAAAACATGCCTCATTACAAAAATGTTGGGAAATAGCGATGAATTTTTTCATCACTATTTTCCAAAAATCGATTGCTAAATGATATTAGTGACGGACTAAGGACAATATGCAATCCATCGCTAAAGTGTAGTCGCTATTTTTTTAGTGATGAAATTTTTTTTCCATCGCTATTTTGGTGATATTCCGTTGCTAAATGACTCTAAATTAGTCATCTCTAACGTCTCATATTTATCATTAACCCTCGCTATTTTTGCTTAATTTTATCTCTAAATAGCAACGGATTGTCTTGTCGCTAATATCCTCCCAATTTCGTCGTTATTTTTGTCGCTACTTAGTGATTGAGTATTCATCCGTAGCTACATTCGTCACTATTTTTTTAATAAATTATCAATAAAATTTTTCATTATTTCTGCTTATTTTTGTCGCTAAATAGTAAGGGATTGTGTTGTCGCTAATATACTCGCTATTCCGTTGTTATTTTTATCGTTATTTAGTTGCTAAGTATTCATCTCGTCGCTAAATTTGTCATTATTTGTTTTAATAAATTATTGTTTATTGGTAATTGTAACAACAAACAAATATAAACAACACTTTATTAAAACACACTATATTATTAAATAAAATCAAAATTGTATAAATTAAACTAAAATAAATATATAAATGCGTTAAAGTGTATAAAAATATTAAAAACCTTTTAAAAAAATAGAAAGTTAATCCTCATTATCATCATCTCCTCCTTCATCTTTCGGCTTGTTTCTCGTTAAGAGGAACGACCGACCGTTAGGTTCCGAGAGGGTCACCAAGAGTGACGAGAGGGTCAACAAGAGTGACGAGAAGCACTCGGAGGTTCTTTAACAACCCCAAAACTCTTTCCAACCGAGTCTACATGGTGCCAATTTAATCGGCCTATTATTGGATGGTAACCTCCACACCTTCGATTTGATCTTTGTACCGGGAAGAAACCTCCTAACTATTATTACTAGGGTACCACAAAATGGCGGATAAGGAGTCGGAGCCTAAATGTGAGTAACACTAGGATGCATAAGTTCCGATGTCGTACACCCTTTGCTTCTTCTCCCTTTCGATAGTATCCAAATATATCTTGAATATGTCAATATCTTGATATGATGCATCACCCTCATGTCGCTCTTTAGCGACTACTTTTTTCATTAATTGCACATGCTTCTAAGTCATTTAAATAATAACAATATTAAATTATATATATATATATATATATATATATATATATATATATATATATATATATATATTTTAGATTATATTGGTAGGTGTACATATATTTAAAAAATATATATAAAATCTTAACATTACTATTTGTCATAATTTGTCAACGAATGTCCCATCGTTCTACTTGTGAGTGGTCATGAGCAACTCGTAAAGATTTGGGTTACAACCTAATTTATGATGCTAAAATAAATAAATAAATAAAATAATATGAGATGAAATAAATAAAAAAATGGTATTTCAATTGGAGATTTAGTAATCAATTAACCACGGATATTTAGGATTGATTGTCACAACTAGGCCAAATCTCCTTATTCATTGTAAAACTCGTGTATCAAGATTTGGTTCCTCATATATGGTGGACTCGATTAAATGACGGACCAGCTGCATCCATCATCATTATTTCATATGGATTAGGGGATTGACTACAACTTTCTTCGCCTTCATGAAAATTTTTCGATGCAACATAAGTCTTCGTGTCAACTTTTCTATGGTGTATCCAGTTATAACATCCAAGAACAAAACCATATCTCACTAAATGGTATTGAATCTCTTTAAAATTTCAATTTTGACACTTACGATGATTGCAAGGACACCTTAACTTTCTTTCGTTCATACATTCAAGATGAGTAATAGCAAATGTAAGAAATTCTTCAATCTTATTCGTGAAATCATCTTGTAAATACCTATCGATACACCTAACATAAATTCATTCATGATCGAACCTAATTATTTTGCTTTTGCATTTCCAAGGCATAACAAAATTATTTAATGACAAATTTTCTAAACATCTAACAAAAAATTTAGCAAAATGTCCCCTCTAAATTACCTTTTTTATATAATTAACAAATTCATCAAATAATCACACAAACTTATGCACTTTAAGACCAACAAGTATCTCGGATACTCCATTTAAATTAAATCACAAACTCTTCCTCCAAGCTCCATCATAGAGCATTGAACCAAACTTATTTCTCCTCGATTCCCGTGGATCTTCCACCTCTCAAGTTCATTACACTACGATATATTTCGACACACTTCAATAATTATATACGAACTAATTAAACTAGTCAATTCTCATTCTAACCTAATTAAGTTTAGAACAACAATAAATT